GGCGGAGTTACAAGAGTAGGAGTTTGGTGTGAGATCGCCGCCAGCCTGCGAGGACGTGAGCCGGGAGCAGAGGAACATCCACTGCTGGAAGACGTTATCGAACAGCTCAGTGAAGACCGTGAATATGGGACAGTGATTTGAGAAGTGTAGTCACGAGAGGCAGGGGTCTTGAGTCGGCAGTTAGGGAGTGAATTTCTTGAGTCGTAAGGTCGTGGGTAAGAGCCCTTTTTAGAAAACTGTAACCAGGTAACGCCTGCTCGATTTGTAAGGTAGGCTACAGCCAGCGAGGACAAGAACCGTGGAACCCTGAAGCAGACTAATCTATAGGAATGGGAACTTTACCAGGCGGCAACCAGTGAAGACACAGCAAACTGAGAAGAATCAGTGCGTGTTGTACTGTACAGTAGAGTGTGTGAATTACATAGAGAGCTAGAGTAACTTGTAGTTACGCTCTGTAAGAGTCCAGTAAATACATTTATTCGTCCAGAACCAGTCTATAGTCAATCACGTGATTAATATAAAGTAATTTAGAACTGTAAGAGCCACCGTTTCGGAAGGATTTTATTGCGCGTTTTCAAGCAAGGGAAAGAAACCAGAAGTTTGACTTGCAGATTATGCATGACGGTCATTTCGACACCAAAAGCTTATTGCAACAGAGAATGGCCCTACAGTATGTTGTTCGAAAATGTTCTATTTTTTAAAAAATGAAACATATTTAATGAAACAAAAACAAAGAAATTATGCTAGTGAATTAGCAGTTATCACAGCGGTGACTATAAAGAGTTCCACCGTCTCGGATATAACGCCATATCTTCAGTTGTCACAAGCGGCCTTCTTCAGGGCCGAGTTTAGTTACTCTTTCCTTGCCTCCTATTGGTTCACTCTGTATCCCAGAGAGAGCCTCAGGGAGCCGATTTGTTGACTTTTGTAAATTCCCTCCTAGTGTATACAATCTTTTTTTTTTTTTTGCTATGTTCTCTGCTTGCTGACTGCGCCATGATGGTTTTTTCATCAGATTACTTTTCGACCCTGGAAATGGAGGCGAAATATTCCTCTGGAAATTCGGTTAAATTTCAAGGGACTATACGGCGTCATATCCCAGAAATTGGAACATTTTATACAAATTTGCATCACTTATAAAACACTAGTATCTGGGCAAATTTCGGTGTATTCTCAGACAAGTTCTACTCTATTTCTTTAAGGCTAGCATAACTGGAATCGTTTCTCTCTACTTAAGGTGGGTGGAAATTTTCCGCCACTTTCCCTACTGGCAGTGTGCGTTGGCACAATTGCTATTCCTCCACTTTCCCATCATGTGGCTTCGGGGATTATATTTTACACAACTGGAAAAAGAGAAGTTTTTCATCAAGATGATAGACAGCCTCCTTTTAGCAAAATAAAAAGTTTCTAGGTTCTTTGGATGAGAGAGATAGGACTGTTTTATGGGTCTCTGGATTTAACGGATTTTCCTTCATTTTCTTTAGGGGATGATACATATTGAGTGCAATCTGCGCAGCTATCGCACGAGTAGATTGTGCTGATACATTAAAACACATCAGGGTAACTACTGAAATTTCCTGAAGTGATCATCGTCTCGATATCTCCCGGATTACAAAGTCTGAACATGTGGAACTTCATTACCACAAATTCTAAAATCTATTGCTTCATTCTTATCTTCGTTAATACAGTCAAACAACATGAATAAAATGTTGCATAGTCTGGTGAAAGTCAACCATTGTTACAGAAGGAATTCATGCTTGTTACCTGCTTCATGCTGGTTTCATAGTTAGCTTACTCTTCGAGCCGTAAAATGGAGGCGTATGTTCTTCCGAAACGTCGACTGACTTTAATCGAACTGCATGGAGTTATAACCCAGAAGATGAAAATCTTCATAATCACTGTTACGACTACCTTGAACTCCAAATAATTATGTCTAAGTTAGAGAAACGTAACATTTTGAAATACAGAACATGTATTATGGACTGTCTGTATTAGAACATAAATTCTCCTTGTACTTTTCTGTTTTATGACAACGAAGACGCTGAAGGTTGTTGTCACATTTGAAGCATGGAGCAAAGGTTTCTTGGCGTTTGGAGCAAGAGACAAGATTACGGTGCTGAACAGCTGAAATATTACCACTGCGATGACTCTGTGTTTCCTCCCCTCCACTGTAAGATTTATTAGTGTACAAAAGGGCCTATGTGTGACTGCTTCGGGACCAGTTCAATACTAAATTATGGACTCCATGGTAGAGACTCAATCATTTATTCATCTGGGCAGTAACATCTCTGTCAGAGTGGAGAAAGTGAATGTTGTTCGTATCTGCTACGGGAACGCACCACAATCTGACAGAACATTTTAAAATGTTTTAAGAAACCACCACTCATTAAACATCAAATTATTTCTGCGTATTTTGGTCCCAAAAGGAAAAGTTCTTAACTCAAAAATAAATCTATGATACACAAACGGAGTGTTTATTGTTTCGGAGTATGAACTAAATAACTGAAATGGTAGTTTGTTTGAGTTTTGGTTGCAACAAGAATTTTATGTTATTGGAGTGGCTGAAGCTCGAGTCCCGGTATGCTCAATAATTGTTTCTTCTCCGCGTCGTCCAGACCGGTTTTGGGGCCCAGCCAGCCTCGTATCTAATGTGTACCGAGTGAGCTCTTTCACCGAGAGAAAAGCGGCCGAGGCGTGAAACTGATCAGTCACCTCTAGTTAGTTAGTTAGTTAGTTAGTTATTAGAGAGGGTGGGTTTCCCCATGCACTTAGACCTGTAGTGGTCCATTGTGCTTCCTTCTATGATTTCCACCAGCCTCTATATCCTACCGGTATTGGTGCTTACCATCAGTCCCACCCAGCCAGCGAGACCGGCTCTCTATTGGCTGAGAAGTATCTACAATGCTTCCCCCATTTACCGGAGGTATTAGTGACTGCTGTTGGGCCGCAAACGTCCGCAATTTTGCTCAGTGACCTCCTTTGGAGGTATGAGGTTCTTTTACGTGCCGTAAAGCTACGACACGGGACCCACGGCTTAAAGTCCCTCCCGGAGGACTTGTTCCCTGAATTTTTCCGCCCTTAAAAATTCGACGACCTCCGCCGGGT